CACACTTGGTAAATAAAATATTTTAAAATGTCTTTAGCTACCTGCTTTGGGCACTATTTTTCTGAAAGAAACATTACTGTTGAATTTTTTTAAATGTAACCTGTGAATGCTGTGAGCACCACAAATAAAATTCTGCTGACCTCCGCTGAATTGGGGTGGAGGCAATCGCAAAACTTGAACAAATAAAACCAAAACTGCCTGCATGGACAGATACCACTAGAAGTGAGAAAATGCTTCTTTTTTCTATCACTCTATAGGTAACCAGCAGCATCAGTCTGTAAGCCAGAAGTCTCAGCATCTGGCCAAAGCAACAAATCTATCAAGCTCCTCAGATGCTGTATGTTGTGGTCATTCTGTGCTGTATGACAGTTAGAGGGGTATTTCCCTGCTGGAAAAATGCTCTTCATAAAACTATCTATCTGTCTATGCAGTAGAAAGACAAAGACGGAAATCATTTTTAAATTGGTGGTACATGACCAGAGCAAAAAAAAGAAAAAGCTGTGGTATTCTCTTCTGCTGAAAACCTACAACAACCAAAATGCACTAGGTAACTGGTAGGTGACGTACTGTGAGTTGGGCAATTCCTGATTTTGGCTTTTCACTTTCAAGAAGGAAAAAATGGCACCCTGTTCACACATTTATGTGTTTCTGAAAACATTTTAGGCGAGAAATAGGCAATGCAGGAACAGAATCTTGTTTAATATTTGAGCAGCACTGCCAAGCAGACGGTTTGATCGGAGTATGGGGAGCCTCCTCTGTCTTAATCTGACTGTCCGTGAAGGCGGGCATGGAAAAATCTGAAGTACAATGTGCAGTTCCAGCCCGTTCTCCATCCCAACTCGCCAAATACTGCCTCTAGGAACCCCTCTAGCATCACGCCTGGACGCACCCCAGCAGCTTAATGGTTTGATGTGATGTCAGTCAGGTCAGGTGGTATAAAGAGTGAAAAAGTCTGCATATAGATGAGGTGGGGTGGATGGATGGATCAGGAGCTCTTTGTGTCCTGCATAAAACCAAAAGGAAAGGTTAACTTTCTTTATTGTTAAAAAGGCTACGTAAGTTAACTTACACAACGCTACAAGTTATGTCAGGTATGTAATGCAACTAACAATCTTTTCCTTAGCCTAACCAAGAAGTTTTTGTACCTAACCTTACCAAAGTGCAGCTGTTTCACGACATTAACCACAAAATGTTCAAAGTTGATTTTCACAAACAATTGAAGGTATACTATAAAAGATTTTCTGCTGTAGTGAACATGGGGATAAAGCTCATGAGCTCATTTCAGACTGGTAACTGGTAACAACTGACTCTGAACCATGTCATGACAAACACATTTTTGTGAAAGACGTTTCTGAAATTCAAAAGTCAGGTTCATTCAAAGTCAGGTGCCATCATGCTAGTGGACACAAAAAGTATGATGTAGGTCTAATTAAAGGTGCAGTGCCTGTTATAATAACACCAAATAATCTTCATACAGGCCTTGTCCAAATCAATATCCTTTAACAAGAAAAAAGAAAAGAAAAAGAAAAAGGAAGTTGAAGGCATTGAACTTTAAGTAGTTTTGACACTCTCCTAAAAGCTGGAGTGTTTGTTGGGTGTGGTTCAGGATTTGCAAGCAGTAAATGCTGCAACCCATGCACCAAATGTTGCAAAGCTTGCATTTCTTCAGCATCCCAGTCGACCCTGACGGTCAGTAGTGGTTTGCCTTATCCTTCGAAAGCAAGATGTTTAGCCATTTATTCCATCTTTTATGCAGCATTAAAGAAATATTCTGAATCACTCAATCTAACAGCCATACAGTGAGCTCATCTAAACTGCAGCTTGTCTCTGAAAAGGTCATCTTTCTGGCTCTCTCAAACGCTCTCACCCAAACAAATTGAAGCAATTCAGACCATTCCACAGCCTGCAACAAAGAAACAGGTAAAGAGTTTTTTGGGAATGACATCCTACTGCAGTGGATCCAAATTAGTTACTAACAGGGGTTAGTTGACTTCAGAACTAATCCAGGACCATGGGGGACGACAAAGACCCGTAGCCTACCTCTCAACAAAACTTGACTCTGTAGCAGTAAAACCTCCAAACTGCCGTAGAGCAGCTGCAGAAAAGGCGTGACATTGTTGGTTCCGCTGACCTGACTTCCACATTAAGTGTCAATGATTCTGCTCGAACAAAAAACATCCAATCTTTCAGCAGCAAGGTGGCTGAGGTACAGCACTGTGCGCCTTGACATGGCAAACATCACAGTTAAAAGATGCATTGTCATTAACTCTGCTACTCTCCTCCCAACTCCAAATGATGGAAAGCTGCATGACTGTGTTGCAGTAATAACTGAAGCTTGCTCTCCCAGGCCAGATTTAAAAGTTACACTTTTGACCAATGCAGATCTGGAACTGTTTGTGGACAGCTCAGCCTCAAGAAACCCAGCAACTGGTAAAAATCTAGCAGGTTTTGCAATCATAGCCTTGCATGACACAATTATGGCAAACCCACTCCCACAAATTACTCTGCACAGACAGCAGAGTTAGTCGTACTGTCAGAAGCATGTAAATATGCAAAAGACAAAACTGAACATTTTCATAGAGAGCAGATATGTGTGCGGAGTGGCACTTGATTTTGGCCGCCTTTGGGCAAATGAAAATTCCTAACATCCACAGATAAACCTATTGCTCATCACACCCTTGTTGCTGAACTTCTTGATGCTGTGTTGTTACCCAAACAAATTACTGACTGCAAATATAAGGCACACACAACAACCTTGATTCTATCTCACAGGGCAATGCCAGCGCTGACGTAGCTGTGAAGGCTGCAGCTGAACAAAGACAGACAGTTCGATGTGTTGCATTTACTAACTCACCATTAACGGGCAGGACCATGTGTCAGAGGGGTGTATGGTGAAGGAAATACAGAAATATGGATTCACAAAGGTTCTCTAATTTCTCCCATAAATTTTGTCAAAGCTGTGTTGTTTGTGTATATCTAACAAATTAATTTCATTGAACTAACACCTAGTGGGGGAAAGAAATATTGTCTCATCATTGTTGATGTTTTTAAGATGCACCAGCAGTTGCAAAGACGGGGACAGGGGACAGGGATAATGGTACACCTTTCGGTCTAGACCTGCTCTATTTGAAAAGTGTCCTGAGATAACTTCTGTTATGAATTGGCACTATACAAATAAAATTGAATTGAATTGAATTGAATTCACAAGGTCAGCACTGAAGCACAGTGGACAGAGACAACGGCACATTGGAAAACAAATTTGCGAAATGTTGCATAGGAACAGGTTTGACATGGACAAAAAGCACTGCTAATTGTTTTAATGCACACAAGGGCCAGAGTAAGGAACAGAAGTGGTCTCAGCCCATTTGAAATCCTATTTGGGAGACCACTAAACACTGGGATTGGTCCTGTTTAAAAGTAAACTCCCTGAAACCGGTCAATGGGAAGATGAAATGCTGCGTTATTGTGCAAACATGTCCCCTGTGATCCACAAGCAGGTGAAAGAAGCCATACCAAAGGCTGCTAGGAAAATTATATAACCAACACTAGGCGATGGGACTGTGGTGAAGATACTCCTCACAATGGAAAAAGTTGCAGAGGGCGACCTGGATCCATCCCAGCCACTGCAGACGAGTCCTGGAGTTTATCGACACTTCTCATCAAGCGTGCATCAACATCAGTAAGTGAGCCAAAGCTTTACCCTGTCTTGTGTTTGCGAGGGAGAGAGGGGTGTCGATATCTCTAGGACCACACACTTCTCAAACTCATGAAGAGGCAGCACACTGAATTAGAGGTGGGCGATATATATCGTCTGCGATAATATCGTCGTTGTTGTTTTGACCATGTGCAAATTTCCATTATGGAGTATTTAAATTACTTCGCCAAAAATATTGAAACGCACGCAGAAACTCCTCACATCCATTAATACACGGTGCATTAACGCTCTCTACAGCATGGCAGGATTCAGTCACACCACTAGTGGGCCTACGTGATCACATGACCTCTCGCTAGCATCCTCCTTGCAACAGTTTAGCAGCGCGTTGTGATGGTAGAGAGAAAATGCAAACACCTCCAGTCCCTGAAGCTACCGGTACTTGAGATGATTTAGTGCCGAGACGTGGGTCTACCTCTCTGGCATGGAAATGGTTTGGTTTCAAAAATACTTTTTTAGCGCAGCGCTCAGAGCGCTTCAAGTTGAAATCTGTTCGGAAAATTAGTTTTTGAGCTCTCAGCGCTAAAAAACGCGTTTGGTGGACACAAGCCCTAACTCAGACAATTCCAATCACATTTTAAAGGATATCGACTGATTATCGTTATCACCAAAATCCCCCAAAATAACTAGTTATTATTTTTTGCCCATATCGCCCACCCCTACACTGAATACGGGGGAAAGTATGAGGTCACACTGCTGATACGGTGATGCCAACAAATAACCTGTGGCATTGGAGAGGCGGCAGATGGAGATAACTGGGCTCTATGTTTCTGCTCATTGCCACCATTGTCCTGCCACTGTTGCCACTACCTGAGACACCTTGATCAGAACGAAACAGACAATTTTATCCAACAGCCACCCAAGAAAGGGCAAAAAGGGAGGTGCTACCAGCTTTCCCACCCGAGACAAACATGTCTGGGTATGCAGTAGCATCACGCAAAGTGACGTGCAGAGTAAAGCTGTGTCACCCTATGAGGGATCAGCGATGGAACCCAGATCCTGGAGAACATTTCAGATAACATGACAAATATTGTTTCTCACCATAATAACTTCCAGAAGAGAAAAGCAAGCACTCTCAGGCTCCTGAAGGATGGAGCATTTGGGCCTGACGGACCACAGGAGGATGAAAGAATACACTGGTACACAGTGCTGACACCTTTGATTACCATGTTTGTAATGCGTGTTCTTTTGACATTGCACTAAAGCTAAATGCGGCCATCATTTACTAAATGATCATGCTATATGCTGTATAGAAGAAGGCTGAAAGAATAGATATTGAGACCATACATTTGTTAGGAAACTGTTTACTGAGCTCATAAATGAAGTGAGAAGTCAGCTCATTTCTCCATAAGACTGCATGGTATTGTTTTTTATTACGGCCAATGGAGCTCCCCCTGCTGGCCTTTACATAGAATGCAAGTTTTAAGACACTTCCGTGTTGGCTTCACTTCGCAGACCTGGAACCTCTGTCCATTATATATACTATATAATTATTATATAACAACAATGATGAAATAATATCAATTATATAAACATGTAAAGAAACTGCTGTTTGCACTTTTTTGTTAAGTATGATGTTAGTAATCGAATTAGAATGTGATTCTTTTGTGGTACTTTAACTCGTATGAGATGACAATACCAGTAGAGGCCCCAAGACAATTTAAATGTGAGACCCCTGCTGTAATAATACAAACTAGTTCAAAATTGGGCAGTTGTTTCCCTTTAAGAACTTCATCTTTAGTTACACAGACAGACTGTTGAAAAAACACAAATTAAAAAGGCAGTTTGGCAGCTGTACTTGAACACTGCTAAGTGCTAAGCTATCCAGCATACAGTGTGACAAAAGGGTCCAGCTGTTCTTCTGTTTGTTTCTATGCATCACCACATACAGGCTCTCTATCACACCCCCTCCCTATCAAGGCCAAGAAGAAGAGAGCTGCCTTCACTTTATTAATCAGCTCTGGCTTTAATCATGAGTCAATTAGCAGCGTGGTCTAATTGACTATCATCTTAATTGCTCCATCACGCTCCGCCTTGGAGGACCGTCTGCTGCCAGCTTATCGTCTCACTTCTCGATAAGACACACACTTAATGAACGCTCACACTTGTGTATGGAAATGGCGTCGGTCCGATTCTTCTCACGTCAGAGCGGATGCCCCCGCGAGGCCTAGCACTAACCAAGGCAGGGACTCGAGAGGCAGCCTGACATTTATGGGACGTAATTGAAGATGGGTATGAACCCCCACGCTCCAACATAGATGGATATCAGCCAGCAGTAGATCTGCTGTCCTGCTTCATCAGCCTGAGGTGAGACGAGGCTGAGAAGAGGAGGCGAGGCTGAGAAGAGGTGAAGAAGGTGACTTTTAAATGGGGAAGCTGCTGATAAAACAGCAGCTCATACTTGGGGATCTGAGTCTGTTTCCACACTGCTTGGTCTGAGTCAGTCTGCTGTGACTCACTGTGGGCAGGACCACGGGCGCCTGTCATATCCGTGATGTGTCTGTAGCTGAAGACTGTGATAGAGCCTGTGAACCAACAGCAAAGATGAAAATCAGGTGCTATCATTTTGTCATTTTGACACTCAACACAGTTTATAGATCTTAGATTACATCCTAAGTGAAGCAAAATTCTAAATTTGGGGCACTGTGTCTGCTATGAAAACTTTAAATATGAAAAATGGCATACTATTTGCATACGTTTAGTACAAATTAAAAGTATGTAAATGGTAAATGGACCTATATAGCGCCTTTCTAGTCTTCCGAGCACTCAAAGCGCTTTTACACTATGTGTAATTCACCCTCTCACACACATTCACTCAGTGATGGTAAAGCCCATCAACAGGAACTAACATTCATACACATTCACACACTGATGCACGGCATCAGGAGCAATTTGGGGTTCAGTATCTTGCTCAAGGATACTTCGATATTTGGCACCAGGAGCCGGGGATCGAACCAACAACCTTCCGATTAGTGGACGACCCGCTCTGCCTCTGAGCCACAGCCGCCATGTGACTGCTAGAGGTTGTATACGTTTCTTCAGAATAGTAATTTGTTCCAAATAAAATAAACGAGCTAGGTAGGATGTGCAGACTTTTAAAGGTCCAGTGTGTAACATTGAGGAGGATCTGTTGGCAGAAATGGAATATAACAGGCCTGGAATTAAACTGGTGATTGAAATGTCTCTAGTTTATGTGCAATAATTTGATTAGGGTGCAATACTCAGGCTTATTCTGTCCTTCTGTATAAAGAATTTATAACTTTTGTAAAACTACAAAATCACTATTACTCATTTCATTTCTGTTGGTCACATACTGTGGCATACAGTTACTTTGTGTGTATATATTTGGCATTGCCAAAATATAAGGCTAAAACTACAGAGCAGTATATATAGGATATTTTAAAGAAATAGTTCAAACCTTAATACAGCAGTAAAACAAAACAGTAATATAAATCTAAAAACATCATATATATTATTGAAACACTGACAGGGGTCATTTTACTGCACAATTTGCTATAATACTCTTGACCTCCGTAAGGTTTAGTTAGGTTGCTGTTCGCTGTTGTGGGAAAAACTCAGAAGACCCGCAGCTTCCTGTCCTGACATAATATTCCTAGGTATGCTTTCATTAGCGTATAATCATCAGAAAAAAAGAATCATTATGTTTTCGTTACCTTAGAATGAGCTGTTTTAATGCACAATCTCAAAAATAATTTTATATTTCCCTAAAATTTCCACACTGGACCTTTAAAATAAAAAAAAATTTTTTTTTTTTTTTTAAAAAAGGAAAATTGGCTTTATAGCAGTCGTTGACTAGGCTTGTTTAAGAGTTTCTATTATGAAATAAAGTCCTATATAAAATAACTAGAGTTAATTTCTTTAATTATTTGAAAATGTATTATTTTATTCATTTTACACAATTTATTCATATGATTATCATGTTCTAAACACTTTGGGACTCCATAACAAAGTGCCTACTATACTGTACAACCAAGATTAACTCAAGAAAAAAAAAAACAGAAATATAGAAAGAGCCTTACCACTGAAACTGAAACTTCCTCATTTAAATTCAAGTTGTAGAGAACTGAGAATGGCTGAAATCATCTTCTCAAACAAACTTAGTTAAAAAAAATATGTCAAATTGTGAACTTGCAAACACTAAAGCCTGATTTGACTGGTGAAAGCACATTGTCCACATTTCTGGGTCAAACGCTGACTGGCTGGACTGTGTTGCTCGCAGTGTGAACACAGTGCAACTGTGGGTGGCCGACTGCCTGAGGCTAGAGATCAAGGCATTAGATGAGGGGAGCGGTGGATTAGGTTTGGTAGACATGAACCCCTCAGTACAGATGATGGGATTCATAGTTGTGTGGGATGAAGTGAAAGAAAGAACACGGTTATTGTATGTAAGGGTCTCACAGAGTCTTTCCATTAAGGCAGGACAGACAAGGAGCGGAAAATCTTTTTATCATCACCAATTTTGTGTCAAAAAACATCCTCTAAAATCTAAATGACAGTAGATTGGATTCGGGAACATTTCGATACACTGATCAGTGTATTTTAATGCAGGTATTGTAAGTGCCATTGTGCTTCCGACCAAACCATAATTACTAATCTAATGAACATTCAGAAACAGCCTGTGACTTCAAATTCACTTAACTTCCGTTCTCCTTATCTTCCTAACAAGTTTTCTCAATGCTGACGGTGACTCATCTTCTGTGAATAGTTTCTTTTTGAAAATCACTCAGTTAATGTTGAATCCAGAGTCTCTGTTGTAATTGGTTACGGTGTCTGCAGCTCACCATCCACATGCAGGGTGTCTGGGTGTCCCCGGTGGAAGGTGAGGGGGGTATGGGTGAGTCCTGAAGTTAGGCCTCCTCCTCCTCATACAGGGACCATCTGCGTGAGGACGGAAACTGAAACCTCCACCTGGACAGAAACAACAACGCAACTCAGACAGTTGGCTTTTTTTCTATTGAGAGAGGGCTGTGATCATACAAGCGTTTCTTATTTTATTGCATAAGCATCCAAAAAGCATAAAAATATTACACAATGTAAATAAGACTTTGCATCTCTCCCGGACAGAATTAAGATTTAACAAGCATCTTGATCAGAATCAATGATATATAGTTACTTTGCAACTTGTTGGCTTAATCAAATTCAAAGATCTCCATTTTAAAGCTGCAATAATTGATTTGTTTGCCACTTGGGGGCAGCACAACAAGCTGTAAACGCAACATCTGACATATTATCACCCTAAAAAGATATTTTTGTGAATGTGCTAGCAAATAGTGGCCTATTTACACATCGAGCAGACACATAACAACATTATACATTTTGCCAATCCACTAAGTTCAGGTATTGGAAACACTATTGGGAAGAAAAAAATGGTCTCTAATCACGATGTGATATGTATGCCTAGTCCACCTTCCATACTCTGAAATCTTGTGCATACTGCAATATTGAGTTGCTGATTTACACGCAGACAGTGGACCTGAATTAACTACAGCTACATGCACAAATGTTAAACTAATGTTGGAGCTAGGGGAAGTTTTCAAAGTGTGCCTAAAATGCATTCAGGGGTCTTTTTCATTTAATAATCATTCTGAAAACAGAAAAAGCATAGAAAGGGCTCAGCTTCTGCATGCTCTAATGTTCTATTAGCTGCCACAGACTGCAATCAAAAAAGAAAGAAAACAATAACAGTTGGGTGCCAACACGTGTAGTGCTCAGTCTCCTAATAAAGTTGATTCATAGAGTAAGACTAACTGTTAAGTAAGAACTCCTTGCTGCTGTGCATGCTGTCGCTTTAGTAATTAATTCTGTCCCTGCTGATGATGAAGGCGAGAATATATCATTGTTAATTATCAATTCAGGCTTTTGTGAATTGATGGATCATTTTGTCAATAAAAAGTTAGGAAATAGTGAATAGTCACAATTGCAGAGCCCAGAGGGGCCTGACCAGCAGCCCCAAACCCAAAGACATCCACTTTACAGTGATATGAATCAGAGAAAAGTAGAGAAGCTAAAACCAGATCATGCTCAACCTTTTGTTTCACAAATGAAAAAAACAACTATTTGATTATCAGCATTGTTTTTTATGGGCACAACTGTGGCTTAGGGGATAAGATGCTGACCTTGAACCGCAATGACCCAGTTTGGGTCCAGCCTCTCTCTCCCTTGTTTCATCTCTCTACAGGTGCTCCCTCATAAAGTCATACAATACCTCTCAAAAAATGTCAAGAAACACAATCATTTCTGTTGATCGATCCCACCCATTGTTTTAGTACTAAAAGCAGGGACTCTTTTACTACTATTAGAGTCTATTAGAGTAGAGTAGTGCGTTTTAAACCCAAAGCAAGCAGGTGTTTGGAGAGGACGTTCACTAGCATGTAGGACCTTACAGGGAGAAACTCACGGAGAGAATGACACAGGACATTTGTGTCTTTTCAATACAGAAAAGTTTCCGCAGAGATTTCTTTCTAACTTTGGCCTAATTCACACTGTTTGAATCCATCTGGATCTGACTTACTAAGCCCATTGTAGCTATTCAAACTGGTGGATTTTCCCATCCATAATAATAATCCTCTTATTCAGTGGACACATTTACTGTCCTAAATGCAGGTTCAGACACTTGACATAAACATCTTGAACCCAACTGACACACTTTGCATCCTAACTAAGTTAACACAGTGCGGTTGGAGCTCACCTGGTAGAGTCCTTACCACAGCGGCCTGGGTTTGATTCCAACATGCGGCCCTTTGCTGCATGTTGCACCCTCTCTCTCTACCCACTTTCCCATCTATCTTTACCTGTCCTATCAAATAAAAGGCATAGAAAGCCCCAAAAACATCTTTAAAAAGCAAGAACACAATGTGGTTTATCTGGCATCTTCTGATAATAATTAGTGCTGTCAAACGATTAAAATATTTAATCGCGATTAATCACATTAATGTCATAGTTAACTCGCAATTAATCGCAATAAATCGCACATTTTGATCTATTCTAAATGTCCCTTGATTTCTTTTTGTCCCATTATTTTTTCTCATTTTAATGCTCTTATCACCATGGAAAAGTGGATCGGCTTGCTTTGTGCAAATGTTGTTTTTATTGAAAACAACATTGGAATATACTGTAGTGTTCCATTTCACACTAACATTCTCACTTGGAGCAAATAATCTCTCACACAATGTAACACTGTCCATCAATAAAAGGGTGAAAAAAATACTCTGTCACACAAACAGCCCCTTCAACAGCCCTTTCTAAGGGATCAAAACAGGGCGATACAAAATCAAATTACAAAGTGCAAATGTAAGGTAAACTAGGACTCAGTCTATAGTGCAGTTAAACCATGGCTTAATACTTTTCTCAAGTTTGCTTTGAACATAGCAGTCAGGCTACTGCTCTTTATTCACCAGAGGCTCAACCCAGCCTCTTATTTCAGAAAGAATGAACAGTAACGGCTACCAATAAAAGGTAAGTCTACTACTTCTTTGCTTTGAGCCAGTTACTCAAACAGACAAGCCTGTTGACATTTTCAGACAACAAGGAATCCATCCATTTTGGCATCTCGCACTCGCCATCCACTCAAAACGTAACGTCTACTACTCTTCAACAAGTGTGTGCGGCGTGCCTGTTGTTTTGTTTCCGGTCTAGCTAGATCCGGTGTGGTGTTGTAGTTTTTCTAACGTTACTAGTTGTGGCAACAGCATGTGAAAAAAACTACAAAGTGTGCTAGGCGTTAATCTCGCGCTAAAAAAATTGACGCTGTTAAAATGGGTTTGCGTTAACGCCGTTAATAACTAATAATAACTTATAAATCTGCAAGGGGGCCAGACTCACAAAGGGTTAACCATGGCTTCTCAGTTTCACAAAGATAGCTTGAGTTAGGGAAGCTAGAATGGAAATATTTATCATAACAAATGACAACAGCCATATTTTTATCAGGAGCTGGTAAGAGGCCAAAACAGAGCTAAAAGAGTGAACATTGGAGCAACATTTTTTATGTAGACACAAAAACAACTCCAAATGAATGCTAAAGCAGCTCTGTAACTGCTGGATGTGTAATTTACAACTTATGATGTGTCAATGTTGTATTCACAACTTTTTTCTGCTGCCCCCAAGTAGCCAAAACAATGTTATTGAAGGTTTAACTTTCAGTTCAGTTGCCATGGTATCTAACGCTGCAGGCCAAAGCTTTTGTTGAGGCTTATTGATCAAAGCATATGAAAGAACTTCCTCCTTACTAATCAAGCTGTGAGGAACCAAAAAACCCACTAGTCTTACTATTATACTTACTTTGCATACTACTTTATTTGAAATATTGTCATTCAATGTCTATCCCACTCTGGTTATAAATATGGCCTCCAGGCTACTTAACATATTCAATATCAACTGCATCTTAAAGCACATAAAATATATTCACATTAGTATATAACCCACTGCTGTTGAATAGGAGAGTTGCAACACACTTTGATTTCTGCCCCAAAATGCAGTAATGTCATCAATTTACCAGAGATTGTGAAAATTAACAGCGTTCAATACGTGAACAAGTTGGTGTTTGGAACTATTGGTTTATCTAGGATTTGTGTTGCTTTCGCCTTTTCCCATTACAACAAATTCTTTGCATCAAGGCTTTATTTACTCACTATTCTCATCCTCCTCGATCTGAGTGCGGCCTTCGACACCATCTCTCACACTATCCTCCTCAACAGATTAATTTCCATTGGTATTTCACACACAGCCCTTGACTGGTTTAATTCCTACCTCTCAGGCCGCACTCAGTTCATCCAACTCCAATCCTTCAGTTCCCACCCGTCCCCCGTTACCACTGGCGTGCCCCAGGGCTCTGTCCTGGGGCCCCTTCTCTTCATCATCTACCTCCTTCCCCTTGGCAATATCTTCCGTAAATATAACATCCACTTTCATTGCTACGCGGATGACACCCAGCTCTACCTCTCCAGCAAACCAAATTCCACTCTCCCACCTTCCTCCCTCACTGACTGCTTCACCGAGCTCAAATCCTGGTTCTCCTCCAACTTCCTCAAACTCCACAGTGATAAAACCGAATTTCTTTTTATTGGCACTAAATCAACCCTCTCAAAAGCTAACAGTTTTTCCCTCACCATCGACCACTCCTCTGTCTCCCCTTCCCCCCAGGTTAAGAGTCTGGGTGTCATCCTCGACAGCACATTATCTTTCCAATCCCATATCAATAACATCACCCGGTCTGCATATTTCCACCTACGCAATATTAATCGACTCCGCCCCTCCCTTTCTCCCCACTCCACTGCCATCCTTGTACACAGCCTTGTCACCTCCCGCATCGACTACTGCAACTCCCTTCTCTTCGGTCTACCTCACAAATACCTCCATAAACTTCAACTGGTTCAGAACTCTGCAGCTCGAATTATCACCAGAACCCCCTCCATCCACCACATCACCCCTGTTCTACAGCAACTCCACTGGCTCCCGGTAAAACTCCGCATTGACTTCAAAATCCTCCTATTCACGTTCAAGGCCATCCACAACCTCTCCCCGCCTTATCTGTCCGAACTCCTCCACATCGCCAACCCTTCCCGTTCCCTCAGATCTGCCTCCTCTGTCCACCTCTCTGTCCCTCCCGCCCGCCTCGTCACCATGGGGAGCAGGGCTTTCAGCCGCTCTTTTCTTATCTGTTTCTTATTTCTTGCTGTTTTTTTTTTTTTTTTTTGTGTTGTACGGTGTCCTTGAGTGCCCAGAGAGGCGCCTCTAATAATTTAATGTATTATTATTATTATTATTATTATTATTTAATTCATATGACTATAGGGCTGGGCGATAAATCGATTTTATCAATTAATTCGAATTTGTAATTAAACACGATTTATTTTTAGTTAAAATCGGTTTTCTCTTGAACTTCCACAACACCAGCGCTCCCTTTGGGCTCCCATAGGTCACAGTGCGCTGACCCCTCCCCTCGCCTCTCAACAGATACACACAACATGGCAGCAAGCCAGGATGAGCTCGTCCCCAAAAAAGGCAAAGTGTCGTTGGTTGTTTGGAACTGGTTTGGTTTTGTGGCGTCCGATGGGTTTTATTATTGTCGATGCTTTTTAAATTCTAGTTCTGTGCTTGGGTTTTGTAACTTTGATCTTCTAAAAATAAATTAATGCTGAAATATATACATTTCCCCATAGGAATTAATCAATTAAATCACAGCTGTTTGTTACAAACAGTTCTTAAATGTACACAAGTGCACAGTTGAACTGGTAAAGTCAAGAGTTAACAGAGCAGAGTGGGTAACCGGCTTTATGAGACCAGTGTTCCAGTCAGTAAGCCAGATACCGCCCAGCGTTTGGGGACTCTTGAAAGGACTTTAAACAAAGCAAATTGGATAATTATAGGTTTTTGGAGTTCTGCCAGATATATCTATATATTGTCAGAATTCTTGGAGAGGTGCTTATTGGAGTGGCGGGGTACAAGGAAATAAATTAATTTCCCTTGGGATAGTCTGTTTATCAGTTTTAATTGGTACTTGGATAATATTAGGCAATTTAATGTTTTTAATTTGACTTTTCTTTCCTTTCATTAGTTAATGTGAATGCCTGCTGTTAGAACAAAGCTAAGTTACTCTGGTTCTAAGTATTTTATTTTGATTAAGTTTACTTGATCAATTCAAAGCAAATACATGTCTTGAGTCAATAGATGAATTGGAGAAGGCATCATCTCTGCTTAATGTAAAAGAGTCAGTGCTTCGGTAAAACTAGAGATGATACTATAAATATAAAAGAGAGAAAGCACCATACCTGCACCGAACCTGGAGTCTATCAGCGAGCAGGTGGCTCTGATTGGACGGTGAACGTGCTGCCTTGGCCAAAGGTTGGCTGGTGGCAAAGGCTTATAATCTGTCAGCAACGGAGGAGAGAACACAGTCACAACAATGCCATACTGCCAAAAAACTCTGACTGCATGGAGGCAAGGTGACTGACTCTGTTGAACTTACACTGTCTGTAGACAGTCCAGTTTCGAGCAGCAAGAGGAGCATGACTCTGCACCGGGAGGTGACACTGACCAACTCCAACAGTGGCTGAACTCTGCTGCCAATAGAGAGGGCGCTGCATGGGTAAATCTACAGCTGGGACATACAGAAAAACAGAATAACAAGGTTAGGGTTAGACTAAGATACGTCATCACTGATCATTGACTAGTTGTCAATAGAAAAACCTTTACTTTTAACAAGATGTTTTGATCAGAACAAGAAACTAATGGAAAATTGTTTGTGCCAAATGGTGATGGAGACTCTTCTCACTGATTTCAACTGGGCGGGAGTTCCGTTTACCAGAATCAGGATTTAGCAGCACTTGAATCAGAATGTTGGGCAGTTGTGGGTTGGTTTTTATTGCCAGCACTGTCACTCAAATTTGATCAAACCACACCCACTTTTCTTGATGCAGTTTTTGAAACTACAAAAAAGAGGATGCAGGAAAGAAAAATAAAAAGGAGTGAGAAGCAGAAATTGGGTCAATCAGGAAAAAGCAACAAATCTGACACTAGGTAGAGTACAAAACACATAGGAACGCAAGTATTTACTGCTACACAGTGTTGGTAGGGTGTATTAGGGACGGCTGTGGCTCAGAAGAAAAGCGGGTTGCCCACTAATTGGAAGGCTGTTGGTTCGATCCCCGGCTCCTCCCAAAACATGTCGAAGTATCTTTGAGCAAGATACTGAACCCCGATTTACATTGGTGTGTGAATGTGTATGAATGCGTTAGTTTCTGTTCGATGGACTTTGCCATCACTGAGTGAATGTGTGTAAAAGGGTGAATGTGGCACGTAGTGTAAAAGCGCTTTGAGTGGTCGGAAGACTAGAAAGGCCCTATACAAGTACAGGTCCATTTACCATTTACCATTTATTAAAAAAGCAGCAGTAGCATTTATGAAAAGATTTGAGAAAATACTAAACAGAAATGAGAAAATAAGGGCAATTTTCGATTGAACCAGTCTCCATCTGAAATTGAATATAGCCATGTTGAAGTTAGTTGAATTACAAACAGCAGCAGAGAAACCAGAGCATGACTTGGTGATTATTCTTTCTGGCTGATTAAAGGTGGGCAGGGGGCTTTTATAACTCTCAAAAGGCTCTTTATTAGCTATTGTGAATTGGCAAACAGCTGAAGGCTCTCCTCTGAATGAGGGCTGATTGCTGTACTGATGCAATCAATGGACCCTGCTAAGTGGGCCGACTTGTCTGATGGCCATGAAAAATATAAAATGCCTGAGGGAAAACAGTGGACACAGGGCTTGTGGGAATTTTAAATCAATCAATCAAGTCTATTTCCATCAATCAAGCTTATTTGTCACGTGTAATCATATAAAAAGTACAATCACATGTAATCCTGCCAATTTGAGCCATTTAGTAGAATAGGAATAATAATAAATATATGTGTATGATTGGGGGCAGAGGCAGGGGGTCTAAGACTCACAGGAAAATTCTTAAAAGCACTTCCTGAGCCTCTCAGGGATGGCCTGGTGTATCCAGTTTCCTACCGCAGCAGTTATCCAGGTGGTTGGGATCATCATCATTCTTCTAGCCTTCTTTATGCAGGGTAGAGCACCGCCTCTTGTATGTTAAGCCGAACTAACCACTCTTTGCAGGGCCATGTGGCCCTGTTTGGTGCTGTTTCTGTACCAGTCAGTGATGTTCCCCATCAGGACACTCTCAATGGTGCAAGAGTATAAATTCTTCAGTATTTGAGGGGATACCTGGAATTTCCTCAAGGTGAAACAGTATCTGCCTTGCCTTTCTCATGACTGGATTAATATGCCGCGTCAGGCTCTTAATGATGAGGAGACCAAGGTACTTGAAGCTGTCGAAGACCCATTGTAAGTAAGGGGTTCCTTCTATGCTTCTTCCCAGAGTCCATAAGGCTACGTTTACACTATAGTTCTTAATGCTGGATTATGATTTTTTGCATGGTTGTTCACATTATAATTTAAATGCAACCACCATCAGACTCCAGTGTGAACAGTCTACAGCCTCTAAGTGACCCGCATGCGCGGATAAGAAGTGATCTTACATGCAGCACGCTCCGTTCACGAAAGTAAATATGGATGCTACACATGTCAGCGTGTGTGTATCAATTTTTAAGTTGTTGTGCAATCGGAGCAGACAAAATTATGATGATGATTGTGATTATTATGATTGTCGTGTCCCGCCTCCTGCAGAATTGAGATGCCTGTCTCACTTCAAGTAAAAGTCGATTGAAACGCGACATGACTGTTGACTGCTGAGGTCGCTTTGATAAATATCGGATATGTATCCGATTCAGAATGATTTTAAGTGGCCTGGATCTGATTCGAAAAAAAATCGGATTTGTGCTGTTGAGACTGTCTTAAAATAAAATCTGATATGGGTCACATATGGGCAGAAATTCAGATTTGGGGCACTTTTGCCTGCAATGTAAACGTAGCCTTAGTCTTGCTGGCATTCACAAGTAGGTTGTTTTCCTTTCTTTTCATTGTTATCTGTGATCAGGCCCACCACAGTTGTGTCATCAGTGAACTTGATGATGGTATTGGAGTTAAAAGTGGCTATACAATCGTGTGTGTACACAGGGAGTACAGCAGGGGGCTCAAGATGCAGCCCTGAGGTGCTCCGGTGTTATGGATGAGGGTGGAAGAGCTGTGTCCGCCCACCCTTACTTCTAGGGTCTGCCCATCAGGCCAAGCCAAGAATCTACTTGCACAGTGAGGTCTTTAATCACAGCTTTGTGACAAGCCTGGATGGAACTATGGTTTAAATGCTGAATTGTAGTCAATGAACAGCAGTCTCAGATCTCCGATATGGCCGTGTAGAAGATGTGTACTATGGCATCTTCCACTGGTCGGTTGGCACGGTAGGCAAACTGTAAAGGGTCCAGTATACTGTAGTGAGGAGCAGATGCCAGCCATTCAAAGCACAGTACAGCAGGCATGACAACAAGAGTGGGTAAGTACAATGCCAAATCCACCCCGAAACAACCAGCGTGAAGTCCAGTGGTCAAGTAAATTTTCCTTCCAAGTGCCTTACAAAAAAATCCACCTGTACTGGACAAGCCTTAATGTTGCATTAAGACAAAAAAAGACGCCTTGTCTTCTAAGGGTAAAAAAAGATCTATAGAGCTCTGTCAATGACTCTATCCTAGTCTTTTGCTTCTCTCTCTGGCTTCCTTTGGTACAAGTGTTCACTTCAGCTTTAGCTAGGACTCCACAGAGCTCATTCAAACTAAATTGGAAGAATGCAAAGCATGCATCAGTGGTTTTTGTTGGAGAAGGGAAGTTCAGAGGTAGCCTGCTGACTGTCATGCTCAAACCTGGTGTAATGAGGTGAGACAGTGCTCATCCACACTTCACTGGGATTTATCCGCTTGTTCACACTGCTTGCATTTCATCCTTCAAGCTCCCTTTGGTCCTGGGAGGAGAGTGTATTTTAAAATGGCTGTTCTTCATCATTAGATAAAGGATACCTGATCCACATAAGGCCCACACATCCCTTTTTGATCAGAATTAGTGACAGGGGCCAATACGGATAGATCACTGATCACAGATTTGTATCAATCCAACATGCTTACATTTCAAATCACATAAACCTTAGACTGCTAGTAATTAGTCATCCTGTGTTTAGTGAGTGTCACACTGTGGTCAACATTTAGTTTTGCTTCCTACTCTCAACAAATGCTAACAAAAGCAGAACTTTCAGCTCTAAGACCTACAGCAAAAGAAGAGAAGTAATCAGGACTAAAGTGAATCTGTGGAGACAAATACTCGGCGAGACGTGTATCTTCACAGAAGGATGATTCCAGCCTTTGGAAGCCTGAAGGTGCAGCCGATGCCTCTTACAATCAAGTCGTCTTTTTCAATCCAGCACAGTCTACTGTTTGCTTCCATGACTGTTGCAGCGTGTTGCAGTATGGCTCTATGTTTTCAGTAATAACCTGTTCTTTGTGGCTTTACCATTGGCTGTGATTACAGTTTTGAGTCTACCAGCGTTTCTTACCTGGATTTGGGAAATTTGCTCACATTATATATTTTTTTAAACCTTACCATTATTTATTCAGGGTGTTTCAGTTGAGAGCCAAGCTCTCTTGTTCAGTAAATCTCTGATCCTGTTACACACATTCACACCTGGAATTAGAACTGCAACAATTAATTAATTAGTTGTCAACTATTAAATTAATTGCCAACTATTTTAATAATTGATTGTGTTGAGTTTTTAGGAAAGGATTCCAGCTTTTTAAATGTGAATATTTTCTGGTTTCTTTGGTCCATAAACTGAATATCTTTGGGTTGTGGACAAGAAAATACATTTGAGGACATCGCTTTGGACTTTGTGAAACAATGATCAACATTTTTTTTTGGAACCAGCTTCCATTTGTGGTTCGGGAGGCAGACACCCTCACCACATTCAAGAGTAGGCTTAAGACATTCCTCTTTGATAAAGCTTATAGTTAGGGCTGGATCAGGTGAGTCCTGAACCATCCCTTAGTTATGCTGCTATAGGCCTAGACTATCGGGGGATTTCCCATGGTGCACTGAGCTCCTCCCTTCCTCTCTCTTTCTGCACTCATTCATGTTCCATTAATGCATGTTACTAACTTCACTTCTTCCCCGGAGTTCTTGTGCTTTCTCGTCTCGCAGGTTCTTATCGATCCTGGCAGAGCCTCCTGCCATGGTCCTGCTAGATTGCTATTGCTAATACTGTTGTTGCTGTGCACCTGTCTGTCTGTCTCTCGCTCTCTCTCTCTCTGCATCTCTATCTCTCTCTCTGCATCTCTCTCTGCATCTCTCTCTCTCTCTCTCTCTGCATCTCTCTCTCTCTCTCTCTCTGCATATCTCTCTCTCTCTCTCTCTCTCTCTCTCTCTCTCTCTCTCTCTCTCTCTCTCTCTCTCACCCCAACTGGTCGAGACAGACGACCACCCACCTAGAGCCGGAGGATCTGTCCTAGGTTTCTGCCTTTTAACAGGCAGTTTTTCCTTGCCCTTGTCGCCAAGGTCTTGCTCATGGTGGTACTGTTGGGTCTCTGTAATTAATGTTTTAAAGAGTTCAGTCTAGACCTGCTCTATTTGAAAAGTGTCCTGAGATAACTTCTGTTATGAATTGGCGCTATACAAATAAAATTGAATTGAATTTTTCACCATTTTCTGACATTTTATGAACCAAACAACTAATTTATTACTCAAGAAAATAATCAAAGGTTAATTGACAATTAAAATAATTGTATGTTGCAGCCCTACATGAAACCTGTCAAGTACAACCACAGCCTGATCTAATGGCCACTGAGCACCAGTATTATGCACCTCGTAGGTGGTAATGAGGGAGTGGTGAAAGTGCTGCTGTTTCTTTCCCCACCTCAATGTATCATGCTGGTTTGAGGATCGAACGACCAGTCACAAGCCTGCTTTTCTAACCTTTAGGCCATAACTGAACCTCTGAAGCTCACAGGTCTGTCTAGACAACTATAGAGAGTTTATTTGACTTCTTAACTTTTGCTCAGACATTCCCTGTGAACTGTGCGACTACATACCAACCAGTGTGTTACTCTCTAAATCACATTCAATTAGCTTAACTTGTGAACCACATTTTGAAGTTGCCTCAGGGAAAATAAGCGAGTCCATTACTTTGACATAAATCATCATCATCATCAGGGCATTTCCATTAGCACTTTAGCACGAGTCAAATCGTTTCCACTACCATTTTAAACGCGGTGTGCCAAGCCGCGCTCGAGGAGGAGTATCTTCAGAGTAGGGCCAAAATACGCCTGATCCCCTACAAGCAGGCTGCAGTGACATCTTGTCGACAAACCCCTGACAACCCCCCTTCTCACCCTCAAACTTTAGTATGTTCTGAGATTCCTGTCTGTACAGGAGAGCAGAGAGAGAGAGACACTTTTAGAAGCCTCTGAGCGTTGAGCTCTCAGTACTTTTGTAGCTTCTACCTGAATCTTTGTGGTTTTAAGTGGTCCCTGTTTGTACTTTCAGATATCGGCTTTATTTAACTGTTTCCTGTTCTATGCTGTATAAGTATCGTGTTAAGTTACTGCTGATGAAAACCCAACATGTTCTAATATAACCAGGGACTTTTAAGAATTTATAGGAAGTAAAATGTGTTTATTACCAAATTAGCGGCTATTCTTCAATGAAAACAAATTTACATGTGCTATAGAACGTAACCGCAGTGAAATAATCAGAAAATTATGTTTTATTTATTTGATTCACTGCTTTGTTCTCCTTCTCTTTATTCAATATTGAGCTCTCTTGATCATTGCTGCTCTCTCTTCCCTATACAGATGCACCTTCAAGTGGGTAGCCCTGTCCTAACAGAGATGCAAATCCCTGCCACCCTGGGCTGGTGCGCCGAGTGACACAGAGTCAAGCCAAGCCAACACGTGTATGGAAAAGGACTATTAGATTAAAGTGGTTGGATGTGTACTGATGTCACTACTTCTACAAAATAAACTACTATGAAGGCAAAATACACAATGCTGGTGTGTTTCTTACATATGATAAGAATTAACTTGGGATGTACCGAAGACGGAAAATAATAAATGTGTGGCTGAAAAGACAGCTAGAAATGATAAAAAGTGAAGTGTTACTCACAGTCTGCTATTTGTTTTTGTTATTTATGTGCCTTGGTTAATAAAACTACATTTTTTAACTTTTAGTATGCACAATGGCACCAATTTGAACACATCAGCACATCTCCTAAACTTATTTCATATTTTAAAATTGGAAAGTTTGTAGTTGCAAGTATGCAAAAGCAGGCAAGTTTTGGAGAGAATGATGAAGAATAGGTGGGAATAGTGTTCATCAAGCCCAGTAATTCTCCAGGCATAGAGTAATTCCACTACAGGTAGACAGGTTGTAGCTTTACCTCCATAGTGGTCATCAGCAGGCTGTGCAGGCTGATTGGCAAGCTGTGTTGGCAGCAGCAGGGGTCTGATGTTCACTGCCCTGTCTTCCATCCACATATAAGACAAAAACAGCAATCTTTAGGTTGAACTATATAAAAAAATATATTATTAATTGCCTTGTGTAAAGAAAAACAGATTAAGGCAGTTATAAAAACAAGAGACACAAATCAGTCTTCATACATTTGTTATCGCTAATGCAGTACTAGTGTTATTTAATCAACTTCACATAATTACTGTCTCAAGAGCTCGCACAAAACAATATGCAAGGTTTACTCTTATTGATTAAGTCCCAACACTTCACAAAAACCTTTTTGAACAGAAACTTTTTCTTATGGAAGTGTTAAGAGCGTCTGGCTTGCTCATTGTTTTAAGACGAGTCTATTGGTCTCTTTCCAAAACGGTACAGTCATTTGGCATGCAGACAATTAAACCTCTATCATTGTACTCCCTTTGCTTGTACTGGCTGTTTTTTCTCAACTGTCGGTGAATTAAGCATTTATTTCCACCAAACCAGAGTTGGTGATTGTTGGAACAGTGGACTAACAAAGATGGTTTTGATGAGTTTTATTTTGTTTCTGTTCACCTTGAATGAAGTTATGATGTTACAATGATCAGTGAGGTAAATTTACTGTTTCTGTTATGCTGTTGGCAAATATTATGGCCATTTCTGATTAAACAGAAGGTCTTTCTCTGTAGGGATCCCTTACAGTGTGGCAAAAATAAGAACTGTTATAGTGGATGTACTTTGACGGGCACATTTGTCCCCAAGGATTAGCTAACATTACAAAGACACAAAGATGAGTGCAGCTGCAAACTTCACTTATCCCACCAGGCAGTAACATACATCTGTAATCTCCTGTCAGATGATTTGGTGAATAATTCCAGATGTCCCTATGCACTCCTAGTTGTTGTCAAAGTCACTTCTGCACTGAGTTTCTTTGCAAGTGACCAGCCAGAGTTCTATTGAAGGTATGAATGCATAGGGGCAGCTGGCATTAGTCTCCATCTGACCGGAGATTACAAATGTATGTTAATGCCTGGTGGGATAAGCACACGAGCAGCCCCCTTTCCTCAGGAGAAAACCGGTCACTTCTCCAACTTTCAGAATCCACCGTTTAAATAGCAATGTGTAAGGTGTAAGCACTCCCTGGGAACGGGAGATGACACTCTGATTGGTTCGGTCATTTGCTTTTGTCAAAGTGAAAACGGATCTCTACAGTCTAACCGCACCTAAGAGGGACATTTTCAAGTTCTACATGTAGTATGGATTTAAATCAAAAGATTGTTTATTTGATGTATATTCACAAAGAGTAACACACACACACATTTTAAGGGCAACAAGACAACAGACTTACCTCTTACCTGAATTTGGAGGGACCAGCTGTAATCCTTCTGACCTGAAGTGACTCTGCTGGTATCGGACCAGGCCATGTCTCTGGAGGGGTACTGAGATAAAATGACAGCATAGGAATAAATGATGCAAATGAATCAAACGGATGCCAGTGAGTCCTAATGTCTGAGTGACTAAAAATAAGGGAAACTTGATTTTACTAACCTGAGTTCAGCCGGGGCCTCGGACGGGGCCACTCGGGTCTGATATAGTGGTGTCCAAACTCCTCTCTGCCACCCTGAAGTACTAAACATTCAGACATCATTAACACCTCTGTCATAGAACTGCTTCATGCACCAAATTTCATACTTGACGGCCAATATAGAGTGCTGCAGGAATGAGTCCCAAAATCATGGAAATTAGTTTACTTTTTTGCACTTTTGGTTCTCTCTCCTCGAAGAAACTTTTTTTTTTAATGGGTTTTTGATTAGATTCCTGAAATACCAGAAATTATTTTACCAATAAACTATTGTACGATACAACCTTCACTCTTAACTGACTTTGAAAGCAGTAAGATATTCAATACTGCATGTTATAAGAGGCTTGCTTATTTTGCCTAGAAATTGAAGATGACCTTCAAAATGGCTTATGTGCTGATGAAGTGCTGATTGTAGTCTCTTGACTTCCTTGTCTTCTTTTTTGATAAATTTCACCACCTAACTAAAAGCATTTTTGCAGCAGTTGTCGTCTTCCTTTTAGATGTGTTTCTTTCATTTTGTGTGTGTTGCTCTTCCAGGAATAGAGGACATCTTTATCGTTAAGAGCCCATTTTGTCATTTGAGTCAAACTGACAGGGTTTTTGAAGAAGAAAAACTATTTTGGCTCTTATTAACTTACTTCATCTAATCTTTACACTTTACAGACAGTTTCCAAGAAATCAAAGGATTACGTTTTCCTACACAGTATTATGGCTGTGAAAGCCTCTCAAACAGTATTTTGGTCCAGAGACATAAAAAGCTTCCAATGATGTCCAGGGTGGTAATATCAATATTCATCTGAGGTACATAAATGGAGCACATGTTGTGTGCCTACTTATATATGCAGAATCAATCAGTTCAGGGATGGTCTTCCTATAGACAACCCCTGAAGTAGTGATCAGTTGAACAGCACAGTAAATATAGAGTCAATAAACCACATCATAACAGAGGTGCAGCAGTCACTGGACTGAACCATGCTCCATTTGAAATGGCAGGCCAATAACATGTCAGCACTCAGTATATCAGTGGAACAGCTGTGGGTGCATTGACCTTGTCCTGGGGGGGAGGGGGGTCCTGCAGGTCAACTCCCCAGGCGTCAGCGATGTGCTGCAGCAGCAGGCTGCTGATGTGTCGATGGGCCAGTGCGTCCCAGTGGACGCCGTCGGGCATGCGGTGCTGCAGGCTGAGGCGGAAGTGGAAGTGGAGGTCGAGGACGTCCAAGCCGTAGGCCTCTGCCAACCGACCGCTGTAGAAGTTGGCCTCAATGATGTCATAACACAGCGAGGGGCCCAAGTGGCTCACCTGTTGTGATTCAATAATACACAGTTCATTAACAATTTAACATTTGTGTTCGGTAGTAATTCTTGTTAATAATTCTATAACATTGATTGTCTGTCAATGTGCATCTATGTGCATCTTAAATTTGCACATAAAAGCTAGGTATACACAATAATTATGGGGGCAGATAAATTATCAGCTGATAATGGGAATTATGAATTGATTATGAAGTATCAGGAAAATTAAATTATAGCCATCATATTATTGATCCATAATAATACTAATTTATTTTGAATTCTTATGCACGTGTGATAGGCTTCATGTTCTATGAAAGCCAAAGTATGTTTGTGATTGTGAAGTAAATGTTTTGATGTTTTTTTTAATTTGTATATGTATTTTACATGTTTAATGGTATGTATCTATTTGGTGGCCCAAGTGTCAGGTTTAATGCTGTAATGTTACAGTTTGAGTACATGGACCAGAGGCAAATATTAAAATATTTAGGCCTGAGGTTTTATTAATACATTATATATAAAATTTGGTAGGGATGAGCGCGATTAGTCGACTAGTCGGTTACACGTTGCTAATCCCACTTGTCGCTGCACTAGCACTAATGCCACTGGTTTTAAGAGTCATCTTTGTCCCACTGTAGTCCTAACATTTGGTTACTGCGGTCTGCTTTGGGATTCAACCAGCTTATTTTACTCTCTACCCATCTAGCCTCAGAGATGGTTAGAGATGGCACTAGTGAGGGGAAAGAGAATGGTGGAGCTGGCATCGAAAAGAAACTACTCAGAGTATGGTAAGTTAGAATGGCATGCCGATAATGTAACTGCCCCTGCATCAAATGATCAGGATACTGAGGTCTCTTTAAGAGGTGCTGCAGTATTGTGTTCTATCAGCCTCTCTTTGCTTTCCTGGAGAAGTCTATAGATTGTTATTTCTATTTTGTATGTATATAGTCAGAACACAAAATGATGATGTTTAAGAAAAGGTGAACACCTCATTCAGCAGCCGAAAACTCATTAATTCCTCAAGGCCAGTGTTTAGTGTTATCTTTACAGATAGGAAACTCTACAAAGCAAAACCCACAGTTCTGACAATGTTGCTATGGTCTCTCACAAAGAGCAAAGGTCCAAGCCAATGTGAGAACATTACATAAGCCAGTCTCTTTATTTGCTTTATCTCTGCAGCTCTTCTAATTCCACAATGCCAATATGCAGCTGCTCATTTCCCTGCTCTCTGGATGAAGGGGCTAATAAGTGAAATCAGTTGGTGTATTGTATAGTTGGAAAGAAAACCTGCAGGCCCATAGTTGTGATACTCACTTCAGGCACCAAGAATCCACCCTTGATCTTCTTGCCAAGCGGCATGGCCAGACTCCACAGGATGAGACAGTCATGGCGAACAATGGTTTTAATCTGGCCAAAGAACTTGTGAAGGTTCTCTTTGTACTGTTGGAGACCCCCCAGGCCATACCTGACATAGAAAACATTTAGAAAACCACATTAGTGAAAATGAAGCCACCATACATACTTTGGCAATACTAGAAATGTCTTATTGTATTATGAGTTATTATGAGTTTTATTATGTGTCCTGGATTTGGATGTCCACTGACTTTATAATGTCCTCCCACAACTCATGACAGATGGGATGATTTTAAGGGTGCTCCGATCAGGGTTTTTGAGGCCTATCACTGATCACTAGAAGCAGTATCAGCTGATACCGATGACTGCGTCTATTTAAAGCATTGTGTTTATAGTGTACGCACACACACACACACAACTACAACTCTAATACACACCGGCTTGCCCCACCCCGCCTCTCTCCACATACAGGCTGCTGACCCCATTCATTTGTTGGTCAGCAGTAAGTTTTATATGGTAGATCTATTGCCAGTGTCAAGTTATAAAGTTATGGCAAAATTCCCATGCCAAGTTCTTGTTAACTCTTATCAAGGAGCGATAGAAAACATCCAGAGTGGAAACAAACTTGGCATGGGATGTTCACGACACAGAACCGAAAGGCTCTACAGCGCCCAGAACATCATTGGCACCAATCCAACGAGCATCAGTGATATCGGTGAAGTGAGGTGCTTGCGCAGAGTCCAAAGGATACTGAAAGACAAAACCCACCCAGCCACAGCCTGTTCATCTGCTGCCGTTACCCAGTCTGCATCTGGCAAGCACTACAGAAGTATTCACCTCCAGACTTCTCATAAACATCAGCTCTACATGTAATACCTGTCCTAGATTGAAGAAAGATTAAACTGCACTACATTTGTGAAATTAACATTGATCTTCATTTACATTATACCATTAGAGCTGCATTTCATTCAAACAGTCAAATCCTGTATTGTACTATTTAACTATAAAATAAGGAATCTGTCTGAATGTCAGTCTGTCCTTTGAATATGTTAAGAAATGTTCATCCAATTGACTTCACACTCAGCACTCTGTTGGGTCCTCAATGCACCTGCACACACACACACACACACACACACACACACACACACACACACACACACACACACACACACACACACACACACAGTGACAATGACTGAATGAATGAGCCACGATGCACATGACAAGGAAAGTAAGAGCAGAAGGGTAGGGAGCTGGCTTTTAGAAAAAGTGAGTTTCCGAAGCAGTCTGCTGTGCCACCTGATTAGCTGCTGTCACCGATAAATAAATCCCATTGATAGGATGTAACCGTCTAGTAAAAGACCTTCTCATGTGAAACACTTACAACATGGTGGACCCCAATTGATTTCTGGGTCACAGACCAGAGGTCAGATGAATGAAGATGCCAGGAAGCATTACGAGCTAAATCAAACACAACCACTGTGTCACCAGCTGCTTCTTTTCATTGGCCAGTGGCAAAGAGAAACATCATCCTCAGCTTAGTAGACAGCTTGTAAATATTATCAATCTGTTGTCATATTGTGATCCTATGTAAACAGGAAGTGGGACTTGGGCCAGTGGGGACCCTGTCAGAGCCCCTCCTGCTGTGAACGCCAACAAAGTGGCACTTAACGGTAACTCCCACATGAAATGAATGAAGCATTAAGTACATCACAGCAGGCAGTGAGTGAATTGAAAGAGCTTTAGTCTATCATTACTGTACACGTTCTGATGTTCTGCTTTGTTGCTTGACATATAGTTCAAGATTTCCTCCTCCTAGGCAGCAGAGGGAATTTTCTGGAGCACAAATGTGTATTAGGACAGGAAAACAACAGGATGGAGCTGCTACTGGATTTTTCTCTGGTGGCGGCTGCTTGAGCGGTTCCATTCAGTGTACATGTACTCTGTACATAATTAATCACACACTCATCTCCCTCTCACTACAACTGAGCCCGAACAAGGCTCAACTTTAATGAAATTCATACCAAACAAATGAGAGGAGGACCAGGATGTGCAGAGGCAGACAGGAGTTCCAGCAAGTGGGAGAACAAAAACCTAGTCTCATCACGATAACTTATGAAACATACCTCTCAAGAGATCACTCTCATATTCAATGCAGACACTGTACAGGAAATCATTTATAGTCAGCAGAGTGAAGTTTTTTGCGGAGGCTGAAGCAGTCAGACAGTGACAGCTCATGGTGCTCTGCTGTTTTAAGAGCTTGTCAGGAGCCAGAGAGGACAGGGAATGAATAGTCTATAGGTGGAGACTTGTACAGCAGACAGTGTGACAAAAACTCCATTAAATGATTCTGGAGTTTAACGCTTTGCCGATTAGTGGCTTCATTCCTGGGAGCACAGAAGTTACAGCATTTTCAGAATCTTTTTGCAAAAAAATACTTACTACATAGCAGCTCACACAGCAACCTATCACACAGTAAAGCAGCTACTTATTGATTAATTAATCCAGTATTCTACCAATTATTCCATTAATTAAACTAGTAATTGGATGAAAAATACTTACATACTTACTACGATATAGAAAATAAGACTTTTAGATTGGTTTCAGTGTTTCCTCTAGGGTTTCTTACAGCAGAGGAGGAAAAGCTTCTGTTGTACCCTCACTGTACTGGTAGTGGAGTATTTTCAAACTGTGGTATTAGTACTTTTACTTAAGTAAAGGATCGGATTTCTCCACCCACAGCCTAACCGCACTGTGTGTTACCAGCCGAGCCTTCCCCTTCAAGGAAAGACAAGTCTAGAGAGTCTGTTGTGGGAAGTGAGTCTTTCCCGGTGTGTGTGAGGGGTAGTTGTGTTACTTTAGTCAGCCCCAAAGTGTATAGATGAGCAAAGGTTGCAGTATAACAGTTACTGATTGTCTGTGTGTTGTGTTTGCTGCTACAGAAAATAATTTCACTTCACAACTGAGTTGGTCAAGACTGTGGACAGCTAGTTAGCTGGTTAGCAGCTATGAGTCAGCTTAAAGACAATTAAAATAGCCTAAACCAGAGGTAATGCGTTTTGGAGCTGGAATCCACATGTGATCAGATGATTGATCAAAGAGGCGTAGGGGATTGATTGAAATAGAAAAACTCAGATTGCATCCTCTGAAGGGGGCGGAGCAGTATGGTTCGAAATGGAACATCGCGAGGGTTCACTTTGTATAGGGTCCCCCCCGGGGGTCCGCAAGCCATAGCTTGTCCGCAAAATTATTTGCAATAACTTATTAAAGTTATGCCGTATCATTAAAAACTGTGTAAGTACACATGGGAACCACTGCGCCAATAAAACGTAAATACTGATCCAATTACTCCCACTTACGTTAGCTTTGGGCCAATCAAAACTCCCAAAGGATTGTATCACGTAAATCTGACACACATCACTCGCTCGCATCACTTTGCTCAGGACACACTTAGCGTACAGCTCCTGCTGATGTTTAGCTAGCTAGTGGCGATGGATGCCTATTTAAGACCGTCCACTTCATCAAGTGATGTGAAGCCCAAACCAGCTAAACTGAGAAGATATGTCGACAGTTATCTCGAGCTTGGTTTCATTCAGAACAGCGACGGTAAGAGCACCAGCGGATCTAAAGGTGGTCATAAACAGTATCTTTATGTTGACATTCCCTTTTCAGTGTTTCACATTCTCTTGTGATAGATGGACAGAAGCTACCTCATAAACTGTTGATTTTTCAGGTTAGAGACAACCAGTAGTAAAGGTTTGTAATGTCCATATCTATAGTCATTTGAAAATATGTCTTCCTTATAAGGCTCGAATGGCCCTACCATGTAAATATTTGTTCCTTTCCTCGAGAATGTGTTGATTTTTCAATTGTTGGTTTTATATAATCCCTCAAAGCGCTTTAGCCATGAAACTTGAAAACTTAACTGTATTCATAAGACTTTGCCAGTCTTGTTACTGTTCATTTTCTGAAAGCTTAAGATCTGTTACTTGAAAATTAGAAATGCTGTGAGGTCAAAATGTAATCTGAATAAAAATGACCCTGTGTTTAAAAGTACAGAAATGGTATTAACATTTATTTATTCAAATTTAATTTGTTTAAGTTCATTTCTATGAAACTCGCCTTAAGTATTTAGGTTGAAAAGTTTAAAATATAAATATTCCTACAGCATCTAGTACAAATGTCAGTAAACATATGTTTAATCGGCATGAGGATTATAAGGGGGTCCTTGGAAAATGTTCTCCCCTGTAAGGGGTCCTTGGCTCCAAAAAGTTTGAGAACCCCTGCTTTATGTTACCCCCACCCAATAGTTGGATGGATGAGTGGCTGGATGGGGATCCAAATCTAAGTGGTGCTTTCTTAAAAACAAAACACAAACAAAACACTGGCTCTACGTGGGGCCTTTCATTTTTTCACACGTTTCGTGGTGGTTCCATGTGCACGCGTGGAAGGGAGCGGTATTCAGTTGGTTGCAATCTGTAGCTTCACCAGTAGGTGCCACTAAATCCTTCACACTGGTCTCTTAATTTTTTATTAATAGTAATGCATTTTTTCATTTTGAAATGTGTTAGAGTCTCTTTGTCCAATTGACAGTCAGGCACAGTTTCAACAGAGCCACAGTCTGATATCAGCACAGGCCAAGGTAACCTACTAATGTAATACTGATTTGAATGACAAATCTAGTCAGACAGCCATCATAACTGCATCTCCTTCGAGTAGTAACGGGAACTCTGTCTATCACAAGACAAATGGATGGCCAGCAATTTCCTGCATCAGGTCCCAGGGTCAGACCCTTGGCCGGTGATTATGACGCACTCAGTCAAAATAAATGATCCTCCTGTAGCACAGGAGGCCACTGTACACTGCTGATAGTCTAAGCTTTATCACAACTAAATATTATTTAACATCAGTTTACTTTTCCGCTCATGGTAAGCTTGTGATCCCACCATGAGGATCCTGCACTGCTCAAGTATCGACAGCTTAATCCACATTAACACACACATCAAGTTTACTAGTGAACAGTGAGAGGATGGTGAGCTCCGAGCATGAAGAACAGTGTATAGGTAATCCAATCACACAGACCAATATCTTAATTGGCTCGAACCACCACTTACAACCTAAAAATCAGAGGTGAGGAGCCTCCTACACAGACAGCTTCTGTCAGTGACGAGGATAGACAGAGGGAGGTGCAGCAGGTAAAGGATGAGAATCCTTTCCCTACTAAAGACCAAGAAAGATTCAACAGGGACCTCCAGGTGCATCCCAGTGGGACTCTCATGAAGTCAGACTGAAATTAAATTGAATGTTTGTCTGCTACAGCATACATATCTCCTCTGTAAATCATTTGTCCTGTGTTCTCCTTTGAGAATCCCACAAGGGAGAACTGTATATCTAATATATTTGGTTTCATGATGGTGGACTCTAGGTTTGCATTACTTTGATGGAATACTGTTCCGGTATCCGTCTACATAGACAGATACATACAGCCCAGAAAATCTCTTGTACAGCAGTAACATCAGCGTTCTATCAGGCAGAGCAGACGGTCAGACGGAGCCAAACAGCAGAGTGCCACACTTTCCTGCTAAAGTCTTCATTATCTATTAATTACAATGGTAAATGGTAAATGGACCTGTACTTGTATAGCGCCTTTCTAGTCTTCCGACCACTCAAAGCGCTTTTACACTACGTGCCACATTCACCCTTCCACACACATTCAGTGATGGCAAAGTCCATCGAACAGAAACTAACATTCATACACATTCACACACCGATGCACAGCATCGGGAGCAATTTGGGGTTCAGTATCTTGCTCAGGGATACTTCGACATGTGGCACCAGGGGCTGGGGATCGAACCCACAACCTTCCGATTTAGGAACGACCCGCTCTGCCTTTGAGCCACAGCCGCCCCATGAACACAGCTTGTCCTGCAACATACAAACATTCACCGGGGAAAAGTGCACTGCTAACGTCAGTTTGCAGGCTATATAGCTAATTAGCTTTTCAGCTACAGCACATTAAACAAATTAAATGTAAACGTGCAAATGTAATTTGGCTCCAGTTAGATGCTGATGCGGTCCTTACTCTTCAGTAAAATGCTTTTCTGCTTAATCTTTAAAGGCCTGTTGCTTCTGTGACAGCCTTAGAAACATACATGCAATAGTGCTGGGTTCGAAAACTCAGACGCTGCCCCCCCAATCCCAGATTCATTATCAATGACAGGGGGAGCTGCTAATAAAAAAGGATGCTGAATTTTAGTGAAATAAAGGTCAGCATGATAGTATCTGTTAGTGGCTGATTTAATGGTCTGCCTCCCATGAACGAGTTGGAGCTGCTCAGCGACGTTGTTCAGAGGCACAGTACACACACTGCACGAGAGGAAAAACAGCTGTACAGCCAGAATATTTTCTCATCTATGTCTGTGAATTAAGGGTTTATTTCGACCAAAACACAGTGGAAAGACTAACCAAGACAGTTTTGCTGAGTTTTATTTCGTTTCAGTTGAGTTTGAATAACAGGTGCTTTACAATGACTTAACAACGCAATTAGGCTGGTCTTAGTTCAGTGGAAGATAGAAACTTGAATTCAGAATGTGTATGGTTGCATTTGTCTGTTTATTAAGTGAAATAAGAGACAGAATATTTCATTTTTATTTGGGAGTTTACTTTGTTTATTAAAGCTCAGAGAGTTTGGGGCTGTGAACTCGCTGCAAATTCACTACTCGTTTCCTGCTGAGACTTCCACATGCAACCACCCGTTACCACCTGCCTGGCGTTCCATATTTCCTGACCAAAGTGTTAATTAACAGAACACAAAGTGTATGAAGCTACGTCACCTGGTGATGTCCCAAACACAGGAGCTGACGATAATGACATCAGGTTCAAGTCCTTTCCTGAAGTCTTCCAGGATGCTCTCCATGTACGGTGAGTAGATCCGCGTCAGGAAGTAGAAACGCAGCAGGTGGTGGTTGGAGCAGTACTGTCGGACCTCTCTGTACTCGGTGCCGTTAGTCAAGAGACCTAATCGGCCTCCCTCCACCAGGACATCCTGCTCAAAGGAAAACTCCCCCTGGAGCACAGACAGGGAGAGAGTTAAATGCCAGTGTCCCAGCACAGGGAACCAGAGTCTCTTCTTCATCAACACAAGTGCATTTCATAGTTCATGTAACAAAAGGTCAGTGGCTTTTGTTGCAGTTGAATAACATTTAAAGGCCTGTGGCTGTACTCCTAAACAATCTCACTTTACCACTAGAAAGGCATTATAAGTTCCTAGCAAAGAGATTCCTTTTAAGACCTATGGCACAACGCTCCTGCTTGCTGCAGCGGCCAAGGGTTCGAATCCAACCTGCGGCCCTTTGCTGCATGTCATCCTCTCTCTCTGCCCCCCTTTCCTGTCTGTCTTCAGCTGTCACTATCATAAAGGCAATAAACCCCCCCCCCCCAAAAAAATATATTTAAATAAAAATGAACATCAACATTGACATATTGTTACCATTCAAGTTAATTTGGTGAACTTGTTAGCAAATTGTTGCTAATTTAGACATCCAGCAGTTACAGAGCGACATTAGCATTCATTTGGAGTTGTGTTTGTGTTCACCTTTGGTCTTCACCAACTCCTGAGAAAAATGATCTCTCTCTTTAGCTGCTAAATGCTCCACTGTGTTCACCAGCTCTCACTGTGTCTGTCTGCTGTTTGTTGCTGAGCAGATAGAGTACAGTGGGTTTATAAAGCTTTTTCTCTGAAAACAGCGCTGCGACAGTGAACCAGTAAAGTTGTGGCTGGGACAGAGGGGAGAGGAGCTGCAGATTCAGATGCTAATTCTCTGTAGGTTCATCACTACCAGACACACTTATTAACATCGTCGTTTTTACATTGCTGGTCTGAGGAGGAGGATGGTTTGAAGAGTAATTTTAGTAGTTAATCAGTGTAGCATAACTACATTTTTGTGTCCAGGTTACAAAGAGTTACTGAATTACATCAATTTGTAGAAGAGCTTGTGGAGCTGTTAACAATGAAAAGAAATAGGGCTGCACAAAATGGTAAAAACATCATATTGTGATTATTGTGACAGATATTGCAATTGTGATATGATTCACAATTAGTGTGGGAATGGTCACCATTATAAATTTCAGAGACAAAAACTATTAAAATCCTGATGATGTGACATCTGTTGGGGTCTGTACCAAACAAACATGTTTTCTTAAATCTGGACAAGATTTGTAATCCAGGACATCCGAATACTTCATTATTCAGTATAATGCTGTTCGTCACACATTTCACCTTTAACAAAAAACTGCAGCTTTTGAGATTTGCATTATGCACTTTGCCATTTTGCTATATTGCGATGATTTGATAATATTTCGATTAATTGTGCAGCCCAACAAAATACCCTTACAAATGAGACAAAGAGCCTTGTTTTTAGGGTTGATCTTCGTTTTAACCCTTATGTGATAAGCCTCATTACGGACAAATGTAAATCTTTCACCATGTTTACACAGCCTGTTAATCATCTCGCAACCACTCAGATATATCTTGACACCCCTGCAATAGACAATATAAAACAACTCTATACCTAAACACATTGGCATCTATTTTAAAAGGTAGAAAGCAAGAATTAAGCCTGTTTTTTGTTCCTATTGGTAACTATTTGCCTTATGATCACCACCCTGAGGACAATTTATCCTCCACCTTAATTGCCACTATATCACTAGGTATGCCACAATATTAAAACCTGTTCCTGAAGGCTTTGAATTCAACACAAAGATGTGTGTTGAGACAGGTTCTTAAGTGTGTTCTACAGGTACAATTGAGTGTGAATGAGAAAGCTTGTGGAAAGATTTACTTTGGACTTAAGCTGAGACAGAGTCAAGTACTGATCCCTCTGAAGCAGCAGAACCAGGTCTTTGTACATGGAGCGCTGCACTGAAATCAAAGAACAAACGCAACAGGCTTTACTCGCATCAAGTAGGAGAAAAAACTCAAAGATGTCAATCAACTTCGATGAAAAATAAGAACTTGAAAAGGAACAGAGCAGTGGGGAATTTCTAGGGTGCTAAGATGTGAAGTGGTACTTTTAGAAATATAAGATTCTGTGTCTGGTAAATACTGTAGGCTACATGGGATATTGAATCCAAGCTGGCACCTTCTCTCTGTTCAAGAATTTAATCCTAAAATAGTTCAGGAAACATTTTAGTATAAAGATTTTTTTAAAGCAAAAATTCCTGCCTATAACTTTAGGCTCTGACAGAGTAGAAATTTACATTAATGTCAAATGTTTTGTTCATGTCTCTCACCTGATCCACCAAGAACCACCACAAACTTGTTGTGCAGAAGCTCCCTGGCTTGTCTCCGGCTTACAAACGCCCTCATAGCTGCACAGCGGTCTGATGTTGGAATGGGAAGAGAGGAGCCTGTCTGAGTGAGTAATAATATACAGTTTACATTCTCTAACCCCTCTTTCATCATTTGACATAAATAAGATGGTTTCAATGGCTTTTTGTGTGCCTCTGCATATTGTGATTATCTAGACTGATAGATACGATTTGTGATTAGTGGGAATGCTCATTTTTGCACAACAATTTGAATTTTCACTGAAAACAAAAACTATTAAAATCGTGATGATGTGACATTTTTTGAGGTCTGTATGAAACAAGCATGTTTCTTTACATCTTGTGGGCCAGGGGATCTCTGATGGAATACAGTATTTCATTATAATACTGTTTTAACACACATTTGATCTTTATCAAAAAATGACAGCAATACACACAGCATCACCTAAAACATATTAGTTCTGATATACTGTACAAAGTATTTTTATGCCTATTGATAATTCAGTAGCACTTTTATTTAAAAGTATCAAAATATAGAAATGTTAAAAGTGCTTCATCCTTAGTTGTTTCTAAAAGATAACACAAACTGTGCTAAAAAATACACTGGAGGCTGACATAGATCAGTCAGATCTGAACCCTGCAGAATTGTGCTTATTGAGAATTCACCAAGCAGCAACTAGCTTAGTTTCAGTGGTGCTCCTCGCTGCTGCTCACTTTCTCAACCTTGTCGCACGTTACTTTGTGAGCGTCAACTCAACCAAACTCCGTTTAAAAATGTGTCAATTAACATACAACACATTCAAATATTTGTCGGACAACTGAACTAACTGTCGAAATAATTTCGAAATAATCCTTTAATAAATGAACGCCGAATTTAAGAAATGTGTGGCTGTTATTAATTTACGGAAAGTGTAGAAGTTATGTCGCCTTTCTATAGCTTTAAATGTAATTCAGGTTAAGTAGTAAAACACATTCGTCTCACCGTAGTGGCGGGAGGTGTCACTCTCCTGTGACTGCAGTCCTAATGAGCTGCACCTGAACCAGTTAGCACGGTCAGTACACACAGTCAGTACACACACACAGTCAGTACACACAGCACAAGTACACACAGCATACACACAGTCAGTACACACACACAGACAGACAGTACACACAGACAGTACACACAGTAGTACACACACACAGTACACACAGTCAACACACACAGACAGACAGTACACACAGACAGTACACACAGACAGTACACACAGACAGTCAGTCAGTACACACAGTCAGTACACACAGTCAGTACACACAGACAGTCAGTACACACAGTCAGTACACACAGTCAGTACACACACACAGACAGACAGTACACACAGACAGTACACACAGTCAGTACACACAGACAGTACACACAGTCAGTACACACAGACAGTACACACAGACAGTCAGTCAGTACACACAGACAGTACACACACACACACACAGACAGTACAGGAACTGCTGTTCGTTCATACAATCTAACGTTAACTACTTCCTCCTTACCTCCACGCCCTCTGGTTAATCTTTTAGTGCAATGCCGTCCGTGGCCGCTAGGGCTACGATTCAAGTTCGCTCCAGTTACTGTAAAAGATATTTCCGGTGTACTTTAGACACACCCCCTTTTTTTGAACACCAAACACTAATTTGACATTTTGATTTTACAGTCTGAATTAAAGTCAACATTTTTCATTATTTGGATTTTACAAAAATGTGAAAATGTTTCCTGTTAATAGGACCAGTGAATAAAGAGTGAGCAACATGTGGGCAGCTCTTTAAAGGTATGGAGGCTACTGGGTAGTTCTGGTATCTGTAAAGTTCTCTTTTAGGATCTAAATGTAGTTTTCAAAGTCGTAACCACACGACTATAAGAAAAACTGCTCGTTAAATAATTCCCTTTGGTCTAAGATGAGTCTATAAACATACAAATAGCCAGCTCATTTTAGTATAAACTTTCTGTGTTTCCAGATTCTCAGATAAAATACATTAGAGGACATTACCTCAAAGCTAGCTAGTCCTGAATTTATTGTCCTCATTTCTGGGAAATATGCTAAGTCTATTTGATGTATTGACAAAACTTAAGACGAGAAGATTGATACCACTGTCGTACTTTTACCGTAAATATAAAGCTACAAGCCAGCGGCCATTTTAGCTTTGCACAACAACTGAATTTATTGTCCCAATTTTACAATTAAAGGAATATTTCCCAAAAAATAATTGGGAAATATGCTAAGCCTATTCGGTTTCTTGAAAGAAGTTAGATGGATAGATTGACATCATTCTTATTTCTGTAACTATGAAGCTTCAAGCCAGCTAGTGTTAGGGATCAGTCATTTTAATATATTTGAATACACATAGATGTGAAAGCCTGCGGCACCCAGATCTGACCGTGGCTCTGGTTTGTGTGATATTCAGTTGGTATAATAATTCATTTTCTTTTAGGGCGCTGTCTCTCAGAATTGCTTGGGTGGTGTGGTAAGAGACTGGGACCAGTCTGAGCACCAACAAGGATGCACCAAGTCTAAACCACGGTTGCTTCCCATCTTATGTAAAACAGATATAACCTCTTGTAACCTTTGGTCATTACTGTTTTTGGGGCGAGAAAAGACAGTAACAGCATTCTGCTGACTGTGGCTTCTCAATCCAAAAAGATCCTTGTAAGTATGATTTGAATTCTACAATTCTAAATAAACTTCTTAACTGAGAGAAGTTGTTTGTCATATGTCCGAAAGATCATTCTGATACACGACACTAGCTTAGCTTAGTTTAGCACAAAGATTCAAAAGACTGGAACAAAACCAGCCTACCAGCACAGCTCCAGCTCACTAATCAACATGTTCATCTTTTTTGGTCATTTTCAGATTTATTGCACAGCTTGTGAAGGCGACTACAGGCAGCTACTCGGCCTAATGCAAAGCTAAGACAACCTGCTGCTAGCTATAGGTTCATCTTTACAGTACAGACATGAGAACTGTCTCAATATTCTCCAAACGTCAGACCTTTCCTTTCAAATAAAGTCTTATTTTCAGTTCACTGATAACTCATTCATTTTTCTGTCACTAAAGGGTTCTTATTGGACTTGTGCTTTCAAATCAGGTCCCACCAGTTTTAATAACCTGCTGGATGTTGTCTGGCTGTGTGCGTGTGTGAGTGTGAGTTCAGTGCATTAGCTGAAGGGGAGTCAGAGACATCTAAGGCAACTGCACTCTGATGTGTCAGTCCAGATCAGCCTTGGGTCGACCGCTCAGAGGTGGTGACACTGCAGGCTACAGCCTTGTGGCAAAAAAGAGGGAGAAGTCTGTAGTAGTTTTGACTTTTGTTTGATGCTGTGACCATAAATAATTTAAATACTATTAAACTCAGAACTCAAATAAAAAATTCACATGGCCCTTATCCTCTTCCGTAATTATGGAGTAGGGAGAGGTAAAAAGACACCAATATTGCTGTAGAGGGGCTGAAGAAACACCTTCTTATGTTTTTTCTTGAGAATGACTCTTAACAGTTTGATCTAACTTGTACTGAACATGTCTGACATGGCAAACTTCAGGATGTGTTAAAGTACTAAATATAATATAATATATAATATATATTATATATAATATAATCTGTCAAATGATCATAAATATGACACAAGAAAACAATGAACACAACTTGTCATTAAAAAAAATCTCTCTCAAGTGAATTTACTTACTGTGGTCCAAAAAGGCTTTATGAGTATGATGTAACCACGTAATTGGTGGTTCTGGTCAGTGTTGCGTTCTGTACGTGCTGATGGAGTCTGGCACAACGGTCTCGGAGAGAATGGTAAATGGTAAACGGACCTGTACAGCGCCTTTCTAGTCTTCTGACCACTCAAAGTGCTTTTATACTACGTGCCACATTCACCCAAAGTCCATCAAACAGAAACTAACTCATTCATACACATTCACAGCATCAGGAGCAATTCGGGGTTCAGTATCTTGCCCAAGGATACTTCGACATGTGGCGGGAGGAGCCAGGGATCGAACCCACAGCCTTCCGATTAAAGAACGACCCGCTCTGCCTCTGAGCCACAGTCGCCCACAACTGAGAACTGTTGTGTAACTTCTGCTAATGGTACACTGCTAATATCAGTCATTTTTAAAAGCAATAAGAAACATTGGTTGGTGACTGTGCTCAATTAAAGGTTGTTCATTGTTAAAATCACAAGGCAGGTTATTTTAAAAGTCAGTGCGGTCTTGTACGTACTCATGTAGAAACTTTTTATTATTCCAATAAAAGGCTAGTGGTTTTTATTTGTACCTGCTGCTGTTTTTTTGTGCTTTTAGTTAAATGTATTTATTCTATTTCTTTTTTACTCTTTGGCTGTCTGTAAAGGAAACAATGAAAAACCTAATGAAAAAAAATGGCTAGCGGAGCAGTGGCTAGCTTGGATGTCCCATCAGGACTTGGACTCTCTATTGCCGTTACCCTGAATGCACTGTAGAGGCAACAAAACCTGTCTGGCTGCTGTTTTTATAAACCCCACACCTCATTTATGAGGCTCACCAACCGAGGGCTAGCCTGAGGAAAGACATTAGCGTATTTATTCACCTCCTTCAGGGCTGTGGCTGCACAGAGCGTGATTTATAGATAGTGGAGCTGGAAAAACTCAGCTCTTTTCATTTAGATCACGTCTGCTGTCTGGCGCGGAATCCACCCCACAGGTTTGTTTGGGCACCGGGCGCCCTGGTAATGGGCTAGGAAAACGTCTACATCGATATATCTCCCCACGAGGCCATTCCTCCTCGCTGTCCGATAGCGTTCCACTCGAACCATGGACTCGCCGAACGCATTAGTCTCCAGGGAGGAGAGAGCCGCCTCTCGCAGATATCTCATTTCCAACAGAGTGGAATCCATTAAGAGCAGGTGAGAGTGGAGACTACCCACGATGTAAAGCCTTCATACTTGCTCATCAGCCAGGAACTATAAGATCATCACGACACCACTGTGGGAAGAAATGAGTCTTTGTTTTCAAAAGGAACACTGGCACTAAGACAAGAAGGAGCACTGATTTAAAAGGAGGCATTTGTCAGCCTTCCATCCCACAGCAGTCTCTTATACATCCATTCATCATACAGTTGTAAGTCGTGAGGGAGCAGGCTGGAGGTCTTAAACCACAGGACCTGGTTCAAACCTTTTTTTCCACTGGTGGGACCAATGGGACAAGAAGAACCTGAGTGAAAACTCTCGGAACAGCTTGTTCATTCAACAAACTCCACTAGGGCTGTGTTTTGGAATCTGGTGATATCATATGTATCTTGATCTAGGGGCTATGATTCATAATATTATGATACTGTAAGCATTTTGTTGCAAGTTAGTGTTGCACTTCCATGAAGTTGAAGGATTCACAAAAGACAGATTAAAAAAAGAATGTTCAAAATCGAGGCAGCAGTAACTGAGGGCCTGTCCTCACGAACACGTTTTTCTCGAATCCGGATAAATACTTTATCGTATCGGCCTCGCGTCCACACGGATACGGCGTTTGTCTGGACGGCAAAAACAGATTAGCGCCGCCTCTCTAGCCTTTAACCTCAGCCGCCGCCGCTAGAGGCGTCATAACAACAACAACAATGGCGGACTACTACTACTTGTTTGTAAACAGCGCATGCTCCATGGCTTCTCTTCCGGTTTTAGTGTATTGGTGTGGCGGCGTCACAGCGCCACATACAGGCCTGGCATATGTACTACAACGTTTTGGGTCGTTTCAGTGAATCCGTGTGGACGCAGATATTTCTGGAAACGACGCCGTGTTTACGGAGATTTTTTCCGAAGCAACATCGTATTGGGTGAGGCCGCGTATTCGTGAGGACAGGCCCTGAGATATGCTGACTTTTAGTTCATCGTACTGTTGGGGGCAAGCTCCAAAAACACTGGATCCTACATTTCCCATAATGCACCTTATAGTATCTTTTGAAAACCCTCTGTGCTTTATAAACACCCACACATTTCAAACTCTATTCCCACAGTTCAGTGTCTAACAGGTTTCTGGTTATAAATGTGCATTCAGCAAACCCAAACTGAGGTAACCCTGATGACATCA